ATCTCAATGTCGAAGTGACCGATGTCTAGATTATCGTTAGCAATGCACACAGTTGCATATATACATATTGAACATGCAGGAATTACTTACTGCAGACAATGGCATCGTTCTTCATGACGTTGAAGTGCTCGCCAGTAAGGATGTCACGGCAACCAGTGGTGGTGACGAAGATCTGGCCCTTGGGGGCAGCCTCCTCCATGGTGAGGACCTGGTAACCGGCAACGGCAGCCTGGAGAGCATTGATGGGGTCGATTTCGGTGACAATGACGGCAGCACCCATGCTGCGGAGGGCCTCAGCGCAACCCTTGCCGACGTCACCGTAACCAGCAACGACGGCGATCTTACCGGCAATCATGACATCGGTGGCACGCTTGATCCCGTCGATGAGGGATTCTCTGCATCCATAGAGGTTGTCGAACTTCGACTTGGTGACGGAATCGTTGACGTTGACGGCGGGGACGAGGAGCTCACCGCTCTTCATCATCTTGTAGAGGTGGTGGACACCGGTGGTGGTCTCCTCAGAGACACCATAGCAGTCCTTGAGCATCTCTGGGTACTTCTTGTGGACGAGGGAGGTCAAGTCACCACCGTCGTCAAGGATGAGGTTGAGCTTCTTTCCGTCCTTGAAGGCAATCAATTGCTGCTCAAGGCACCACTCGTACTCTTCCTCGGTCTCACCCTTCCAGGCGAAGCTATATACGCGAATGTCAAAAAAGCCGAGAGTCAAGAAGGATGCCAATTGAAGGCTCACTTACACTGGGGTACCAGACGCAGCAATGGCAGCAGCAGCATGGTCCTGGGTGGAGAAAATGTTGCAGCTGGACCAGGTAACCTCAGCACCGAGGGCAGTGAGGGTCTCAATGAGCACGGCAGTCTGAATGGCTGCAAAATTGTCAGCCATATACCGTCATAATCGGGACTCTCGCTGTCTCAGCAGACAGACGTACTCATGTGAAGACATCCAGCGATTCTGGCACCCTTCAATGGGGCGTCTGCGGCGTACTTCTTGCGGATGGCCATCAAGCCAGGCATCTCGATCTCTGCGATCTCGATCTCGCGGCGCCCGAAGGCAGCGAGGGACTACGCGTGTCAATTAGCCATGATATCCCTCAAATATTACGGTAGAACAGGTGTCAACAGCGGATTCCTTACGATGTCGGCGACCTTGAACTTGGTAGCGGGAGCAGCCATGGTGGGGTTCTAGGAGATGGATAAACCTGGGGACTTGAAGACGGTGAAGATACGGATAAGGACGATGAAGCTGATGAAGCTGAAGAAGCAGAGATGGAGATGAAGATGGAGATATCAAGGCGAAGAGGAGGAGGAGGAAGAGGAGGAGGAAGAGAAAATCGGCTTCGAACGCTTTTTCTGGTCAATTTATCAAAGTCTCCGAAGTGGGGGAAAAAGATGGCGCGGAAGGAAGCGGGCCGATGTTTTTCCGCTTGGTCCTCCTCCAGGGGTAAACCAGCGTCTGCGGGAAAGGATATTATTTAAGACTTGACATTTGATATATGATATTTGATATTTGATATATAAAAGAGGAGTTAGAAGAAGAAGACGTGGTTGATGAGGGTACTGTCGTTATCATACATAGTCTTATAGGTAGACATGGGCAGGGCAGTAGTACAGACGCTGCTGAGGTGGAAGCTGAGAGAACCCTTGCGGCCTCGTATCCAATCGGACCCTTGGATGCTCGCATAGATCACGGCTGAGAGCAAGAGTGCAGCGCATCCTCCGACGTGGGTGGCGGCCTGGTAAGAGCGTAGTACTGCGAGTCGGGGCTTTCGAGGCTCTCTGGTGCTTGTAGAACCTGTTATGGCCGGGGATAGGCAGCATTCAAACTGAAGACGCACAGAAGAACGAGGAAGAGGATCACATAGCTCGGCTACTTACCGGTGCTAGTCATTCAGTCTCTTCTCCGAGTCGTGAGATGGCGGTTGGACCTGTAAGATGGGTCAGATGGTTCAATTCTTTTTGGTTCATGTTTAGAAAAGTTGTATCTTGACTTTCACTGAGGCTTCGGAGGAGGTGCCATAGATCCTCCCGATGCAGTCTTGCTGGTCGGTAAACGGGGGACTTTGAACGTCCCCGAATCGGATGTCGTGCTCGACTGGTTTCCCACCCGCGTGAACGTCCCACTTTTGAACCAGCGGTCTTCCTCTGCGGCCCGTTTCCTCTTAAGCTCCGCCTGGGCCTTAGGGTCAACCAACTCGAGGCCCTGGAAGGGCGTGAACGCGATACTACTAGCTGTTCCGGAGCCTGCAATAGGGCCGACGCCTGTGGTACGGAGACCTTGTGCGTTCAACACCGATGCGTTCCCAGGGGTGTTACCGAGTCGGTGGAGAGAGGATGCGTGGCCCGGTGCCGGTGTGGCCGTTCCCCAGCCCTTGTTCGACTTGCTGAGTTTGGCCTTTGTTCGTGAATCGATCTGTGTAGCACGAATTCGCCCTTGGTTCTCCTGTCCGAGCATACCGAGGCCCTTGGTACTTTCTCCTGTTCCATAGCCTACTTCTTTTTCTTCCTTACCAAATGCTAGTCGGTTCTGGGCTTTGCGTAGATCAGTCATTGCTGTGGCTTCTTTGGCCTTTCTCGCTCTTCGACCACCTCTTTTCCTCGAAGGCTTGTCATCTGGCGCAGGCAAAGCACGAGTGCCTTTGTTTGGTGGCGGTTCAGTAAGTTTGTCCAGCCGTTCCAAGCAGGCTTGCTTTAGCTGTTCTCCGGTCGAACCATCTCGGCTACTGTGGACCCTGTCCACACGAGCTGCAAGGACTACTTTAGCTGAAACTATACGCATCGCCTGAATCTTGTAGTCATTCGGTATGTCCTGGATAATAGGTGAGTGGTAGAGGAAGCCTTGATGCCGTATTCCAACATTGGTTGCAAACCCAGATTGGGCTTGCTTTTTAGAGCCAAGCGGTGATATATTGCAGGAAGGCATCTTGGCCAGTCCCGTCAGTCCACCTGCGTAGTTAAGCAGCTGTGCCGCAGTCAACGACCCTACCAGGGCCGTCAGGTTTGGAGCAAACATCGTCATTCTTGACTGCACGTATTCCGTCAGTACCGTCTTCGCTTTCTCTAGAGAAAACATCATCTCGCAAGCTCGCAAGACACACTCCAGCTCCTCGGCAGGTAACGGGCTACCCCGTGTAGTAGTTCCTTCTACAGCGACAGTCATCAACGAAGGACCGTCAAGGATAGCTCGCAGCGTCTGTCCGACCAGGTTATCTGTCGATGACGCCATAGCCTTGATATCGTCGAACGGCCCATTCTTCAGGATGGCGACAGTCTTTGCGTAGTCTATCGGATTCGAAATCAGTGTTTCTAACTCTGGGAAACGGGACGAATAGTGGTCTCTGATGAACTTGTGTACGAGCGTGATCTCGTTATCGATCGACGTTGAAAGTGAGTTGGACTGTGTCAGGAGATGGTATTCCTCGTCGTCTTCTACCGAGCCAGTTCTTGTCTCTTCACGTTCAGGTAACTGCTTATAATGGGTAATTTTCTAAACATGTGTGTTAGCATAAGGCGTCTTGTACAAAGCAAAGCCGTTAAGTTCATACCTCAAGAATAGGCCGCAGGGTCTCCATGAGCCGTGCTACGCTCCGAACATCAGAAACTCCCTTGAACTGGGTCTTCTCAATCTTCTCCTGTCCTTCATCATTGTTATCAGCCTCATCTACGCTGTCTGGCAAAATAGGTGTATCTCTAGTGTCTTCATCGCGGTCATCTTGATCCTTGAGATGCGCATCGTCGAGGCCACCTTCACTGCCGGAGTCCTCGAAATCATTCATCAGCTCATCTGCGAGGGTCGCCATCGTGTCCTGGAGCTGTCTGCAGCGGTATATTGACGGCAGAAGAGTATAAGCGGCTGATAAGATGTTCGTGGCAAGGAGAAGTTCAAGTTATAGCAGTTTCTTTTGATATGATGAAGTTGACTTGGGTGAACGGCGGACTTTAGAGACCAAAGAGGCAAGGTCTTGGCGTGACGGAACCTTTGAAGCTTTCGGTTTTTTTATATTTTGATATCTTGACAGCAACAACAACCACATCTACAGCCATTGGCAAGAGCAAAAGAAGCTCATATTTGCATCGCAGACAATATTTAGTGCCGTCGCTTCCTGAGCTGCTGACCATGGATTCCACACGAGGCCCTCCGAGGGTCAAGAACAAGGCCCCGGCGCCGCAGCAGATCTCTGCTGAACAGCTCCTCCGCGAAGCTGTCGACCGTCAGGAACCCTCGCTGCAAGCTCCTACACAGAGATTTGCCGACCTAGAGGAACTCCATGAATACCAAGGCCGGAAACGGAAGGAGTTTGAAGACTATGTCCGCCGCAACAGGATTAACATGAACAACTGGATGAGATACGCGCAATGGGAGCTTGAACAGAAGGAATTTCGCCGTGCTCGGTCAATATTTGAACGTGCCTTGGATGTCGATTCTACATCCGTCGTTTTATGGATACGATATGCAGAGGCGGAGATGAAGAACCGTAATATCAACCATGCTAGGAACATATTTGACCGGGCTGTTACGATCCTGCCGCGTGTGGACAAGCTGTGGTATAAATACGTGTACATGGAGGAGATGCTAGGCAATATTGCGGGCACTCGACAAGTCTTTGAACGGTGGATGTCGTGGGAGCCAGATGAGGGGGCCTGGCATGCATACATTAAGCTGGAGAAACGGTACAATGAGCTGGACCGTGCCAGAGCTATTTTCCAGAGATTCATTACAGTTCATCCGGAAACGAAGAACTGGATAAAATGGGCACGGTTCGAGGAGGAGAACTCCACTAGTGATTTGGTCAGAGAGGTGTACGGCACTGCAATCGAGACTCTTGGCACCGACTTCATGGACGAGAAGCTATTTATTGCCTACGCGCGGTATGAGACGAAATTGAAAGAGTACGAGCGTGCCAGAGCAATATACAAGTTTGCTCTCGACAGATTGCCCCGCTCCAAGTCTGCTGCTCTACAGAGTGCCTACACAGTGTTTGAAAAGCAGTTTGGCGACCGCGTGGGGGTTGAAGACGTGATCCTGTCTAAGCGGAGAGTCCAGTATGAAGAACAGATCAAAGAAAATCCAAAGAACTATGATCTATGGTTTGACCTCACACGGCTCGAGGAGACATCCGGCGATGTAGACCGGATTCGAGAAACATATGAAAGAGCAATTGCTCAGATACCACCATCACAGGAAAAGAGGCATTGGCGGCGCTACATCTACCTCTGGATCTTCTACGCTGTGTGGGAGGAGATGGAGAATGAAGATGCTGAGCGTGCGCGGCAGATATACACAGAATGCCTGAAACTGATTCCGCACAAAAAGTTTACGTTTGCAAAGATATGGCTCCTGAAAGCTGAGTTCGAGATTCGACAACTTGATTTAGTGCTAGCACGGAAGACACTAGGACAAGCCATCGGAATGTGCCCTAAGGACAAGCTCTTTAGGGGTTACATCGATATTGAGCGGAAGTTGTTTGAGTTTTCCCGATGCCGAAAGCTATTCGAGAAACAGATCCAGTGGAATCCATCTCAAAGTGAAGCATGGATCAAGTTTGCCGAACTAGAAAGGGGTCTAGATGATGTGGAGCGTGCTAGAGCTATTTATGAGCTAGGTATAAACCAGACGGCACTTGACATGCCGGAATTACTTTGGAAGGCGTACATCGACTTCGAGGAGTACGAGGAAGAGTACGAGCGCACCAGGAACCTGTATGAGCGACTTCTGAAGAAGACCGATCACGTCAAGGTCTGGATCAACTATGCTCGATTCGAGATCAATATTCCAGAAGGTGATGAGGAAGAAGATGAGAATGAAGAGCGCCCGGTGTCTGAGGAAGCGAAGAGCCGAGCTAGGAAAGTATTTGAGCGAGCTAACCGGGTCATGAAGGAGAAGGACATGAGAGAAGAGGTCAGTTCCCAACCTTGCTATTTTTACATCATCTCCTGTATGTGTATATTATATACGCTGGTCACCTGCTGACAAAATGGACTAGCGTGTCGCACTTCTCAATGCATGGAAAGCATTTGAACACACTCACGGATCCCCCGACGACATTAATAGCATCGAGAAGCAGATGCCCAGAAAGGTGAAGAAGAAGCGCAAGGTAGACGACGACAGGTTCGAAGAGTACATCGACTATATCTTCCCAGCGGACGACGAGTCGACTGCAATGATATCAAACTTGTTGTCCACGGCACGCCGGTGGAAAGAACAGCAGCAGCAGCAGCAGCAGCAGCAGCAGCAAACCCAGAGTTAGACAGTACTCCGTACAACGAGAGACCTCTTTTCTTTCTCTTTATCATCCACCATCCACCATTTTATCAGCACCGTATACTCTGTATCTTACTCGCCCCCTCCCCCCTTTTTCTCCAGAGTTCCAAGCACTCGAAAAAAAAGCAGGCCATCCCAGTGCGACCTTTATATACAAGAAACAAGCGATCGATCACCAGAAAAAACAAAAATCAGCATAAATGGGGAAAAGCACGAAAGCGCTCGCATGTAATTTACCGGGAGTGGCTTGGCAGGGGCTGGGGAAGGGACCATCACGGCATTTCTAGGATATCATTGGCGGAGAAGCTAGGAGAGCCCCACTCTACGGCCCGGAGGTATCCCTGCTACTGCGCTCTGGTTGGACGGAGCCATTATCAACCTGGCGTCTGTGTATCGGCTGTACGCACCCTGATACGGCCCCAATACGGCCCAGGAACGGGCGTGTTTGATGAGTATTATTATCCATCGTCGGTTTCAGGCACGGCTGCTCCCTATTGCAACCGGGACAGGCGTCGCGGCATGAGACATTCCATCTCTGCCCCTGGTCTCATCGTCCGTTCTTCCCTTCATCCTTCGAGCAGAGATCTATCTCCCTATTTCTCCTTCTTCCCTCTCCTCCGGCTTGCAAAGCTGTGCTGCTGGTCGTTCTTTTTCCCTTTCTCCTTTTTTTTTTCTTTACCTTCTGGTGTATACATTCATTCCTTTTTGACTTGCAGGTTTATCGGCTTGTGAGTCGTTGACCTGTTCTTTCGTGCGTTCAAAATTTCTCTCGACAAGCAGGACAGATCATATCGGTCTTGTATCTTCCGTCGTCGAGCCCGAGGACGAGGCTGCGAGTTTCGAGCTCGGTTCAACGGAGTGACGCTTGGTGAAGTGCAAATTCAGCCTCGGGTTTCTGTCTGGAGAAGCAGAAGCTATCGTCTATCTTATCGACCTTTCTCTGCCTTGTCTCTCAGGCTCAGACAGACGGACAGACCAGCGGAATTGCTCTCTGGATGCAGGCACCACGACTGGCCATTTGTCCGTTTGTCTGACGCGGTACGGAGTACCTCTGGTAGGACACTTACTCTTCGCTCAACTTTTTTTTTTGTACATCTACCATTCTAGCTAGCGGTAGAATGTTTCTAGAGACTTGCTGGCTGGCGCTGTTGATTTAACGGGTTTTGTCCCTTTTCTCCTTATCGTCGCGACCTTTATCGATCTTTAGAAACGGCTCACAGTCATGCCGTCCCCGAAACCTCCATTCGAGCTCAAAGACCACTGTTCCCTTATACACCAAAATGTTCTCTATGTCTACTCACCAGCTGGCTTTATGTCACTCGCCCTGGAACCAAATGCGAAGTGGAGCAAGCTAGAAATGGGCAGATCTGTGACCGGAGCATCTTGCTTTAAAGGTCCGACTGATGGAGACAGGAATAACCCAGCCTTTTACGTTGTCGGCGGTACTGGTGGTCCGGATGACTATCTCGGCATTCAAAGCTACTCGTTTTTAGACAAGAAATGGAAATTCCCGCCCCTAGATGGGAGCAATATGAAAAACAGACTCGACCACGATGCAGTCTTCATCGAATCTCAATCGTCCATCCTCGTTTTCGCCGGATCTACGAATGGGAATCCTACCCCATCAACGGAAACGTTTATGATCTCTATGAACTCCAATTTATTATCACATCGAGTCTCGCG